AAAAAAGCAAGCAAAACAAAAACAAGGCAACAAAACGAAAAGAAACAACAAAGAAGGAAATTCTAATTACTTGATAGCCAAATAAATTGGGGGGCTACATTACATTTGTTTGGATTACTTGTATTTCTTGCACGGCGAATCGGACTAAATGCTGCAGCATGCCTAGCCCTAGCAAATCCCCCTACCCCTAATAAGCCCATAATAAACGCAGAAGATGACAGACACAGCACGCAGCATGGCACGACACGACGCGGCACACTTCGAATCTATGAAACAATTTAATAACTTTTAAGCCTAGTTAGTGAGAGGGGCCAGCAGCCTAAATACAGACCACGCTTCCCAAGCCCAAACATTAGAAGCAGCTGCGCGTCTGTCAAATTTAATATCCATTTGCGGCCAAGTGTGAAGGGCGCTCGGGTGTGTGGGTGCGCCTGTGAGTGTGTGAGTGTGTGGTCTGCATTGGACACACTTGCCATAATTATCTTGCCACACACACACACACACACACACACACACACACACACACACACAGATACATATACAAACAGACACGTACACCAACACCAACACAAAACATAGCTTCGGTATAACTGAACATCGAGTGCATTTGGCAACTTGGACATTGCTGATAATAAGCAGAATGACAGCAGCTTGCTTGGTGGCGCCTCCACTTTGCGGTTGCCAAGAACTGTGAAGGGAGTCACAGTCAGTGAGTGACAGTCGTTGATGTCGCTTTAGTCGTTCTTGTCAGCGCCTTTATGGCCCCAATGCGTTGGCAGCACTTTAAGGCTCAACATTTGGCGACTTTGCAGCCGTTTTACTTTTCCTTTTGCCATTGCCATTGCCATTGTTGTTCCTTCGCTCCTCCATCTGTGGCAGAATGGCATTGTCGAGTGTTCAAAGACCGCACAAAAGTGGGATAACATTTGTTGACAAGTGGCGAGTTTCCAAAATGAAGCACTCTTTGATAAAAGTACCTGTTTGATCTCATTGTGCTGATGAGCTCTTAGTTCATGTTGATTAGTTCAGAGCTCGAATTTAATATCATTTGAACAGTGCCTACGACTGCCTAGCTTGATTTTTCTGTATTCCATTATATTATAAATATACTTTATTATTATTATTATACATGCCCACTAGTTGGTTTTCAAAGATTGTCAATTTATACTTGTAGTTTACTATTTTCCATTTTTTACATACTTAGTTGAATGGGCTACAAAATAAATTCGCATAATATACATATATATTCTTTTAAAATGTAGTTTCGCGACTTTGTGGACCACTCTCTTTCAGGATGAGGGATATTTCCGTCAATATTGTTGAGGAATAATTCCAGGAAACACATAAGTAGTTGAGTTCCTTGCAATTGCTTAAAGCATCTTAAGACAACAATTACAGCATCCGCGTTTCCTGCGCCATTCCGCACAATTGGAATTGAAGGACAAACAGAAAGTTGTGAGCATTCATTTCTTGGTACTTTGTGCTATTTTTGTTGTTGTTTTTTTTTACCTTCAATTTTCTATACCTTTGCGTGTGTGAGTGTAGAATTTTGTGTGCTGAGCCCACATTGAGAGCTGCGCTGTGGAGTGGTCCACCGGTTTAATGGCAAATCGATAAGCATCATCAAACTTTTCTCCATACCTGCTGCATGCTGGAGAGCGTGAGAAAAATGAGAAAAATGGGTCAGTTGGTAGAAATGCCACTCCGTCACCAGTTCAGCCCAGTGGGCGGCCAATTCGTTCACACACAATCATTCATCCATTTATGCGTTAATGTTCTGTTCAATCAATTTGGCACCACGGGTGGCATTTGGAGGCTCTTGCAAAATCAAGCCTCCTGCGCGCACATATCAGAAAATCCATCCATCTTGGCTATAGACACTGTACAGTGCCCCCTAGACTGATTATTTATGGCGGTCGGGCGCACTCGTCGCACGTGTCGGCAATGCAATTAAATGATAGGAATCGAGAATCATGCGCCTATTGAGCGAAATTGCAGCCTCGGCCATACTCTCGAACACAGGCGTCTGGGTGGACTGAAAAGAGTGCAAATACAATAATTAAAATTAATTAAGTGCGCCATATTCGGTGTGAAATGAATGAATGGAAAGCACGCTTAAGTTTTAATTATTGCCACGACCATTATTTATACTTATGTTTATGCAGCGTGCAAAGTTAAATTGAATTAATCAATTTGGCCCAAGGAAAGAATTATATACAGGCAAGAAACAAACAGAAAACAAAAACGAAAAGAATTGCGAAAGAAAAGCGGCCGCAAAAAAGGACAACTTGGTACCTCTGGGCAAAATGCAAATTCTGGTCAGAAGCAGACCTTTAACGCCTGCCTGTCTGCCAGCTGGCCTCCCCGTATGCCCGCCTGTCTGTCGGTCTGTCGTTCTGTCGGTCTGTCTTCCTGACTGACTTTGAGGCCCACTCGGCGTGTGGGTGTGCGTGTGAAAAGTAAAGCAAACTAAAATTAATTTTGTGGTTTTGATTTTCTTCTCGGCTCTGTTCTCTTCTCTTCGCTGTTGTCTTGCGGCTGCAACTGAGCAGAGAGCTCGAAGATTTAAGCATTGAATTTCATTTGCTTGCTTAAAGTTAAAGCCAGTGATTTGGAAACCACTTGGTGGGTCGCAACAGGCAATGAAGGATACTGTAACGACAATGCCAACACCTCGAAAAAACTCACAAGACAAAGATTTCTGAATAATGAACGAAAGGTGTAAACACAAAAGCCGCTGCTCTGCGCCGCAGTAAGCAGCGCCGCACCGCACCGCACCGCACCAGGTCGGGATAATTAAATTGACAAATGTGATGTTGGTGTTAATGCGAACAGGAAGCCGAATATGACATGCAGGGACTGTAAATGGGAGTTTACTGAGGATGGTGGGGCTGGGGCTGAATGTGGCGTTGGTGTTCGTCAGCGGAGCATAAGCGGAAGCGGAGGCATCGCCATGCATTGCCAGCCAGCTCTTGATTATGATAATTTTGTCGTTCTCGTTGTTGCCAAAGTTGTTGCTTGTGTACTGTGTACTACTTACAAGTATTCTGCCGGTTGTTTTTGCAGTTATTGTTGTTGTTCGCGCTTATTGCATGCAAATTTTTGGCAGTTAGCTTATTTGATGAATATGCAAATGAATTACAAAGTTGGCATTGCAAGTGTGTGCCTGTTTGTTGCTATTAAGTAATTAATAATTATACAAAGAGCTCCTTATCAGCGTGTTGTATCTTAATTAGCTGTTTTATAGCTGAAGCAGTCCCCAAATTCATTAAACATGCTTAGTCAGTGTCTAAGAAGGCAGCTAGGGGTGCCCATCCTAACACATAACGAATGGCCGAAACTAAAGCGTCCGATGTGCCTAATTTGATAGCCATCAACGACTGTGGAATGAGTTTGTTATATAGTATGTATCTATCTAAAACAGTTGCGAAATATGCTCAAAAGATGAAGATTTTCCACCTAAAATTAAAAATTATCTTGGCTTGGGCAAGGTGCGATGACAAAGGCGGATGCAGTGAGGAGCGACTTCCTCATTGGCAACTAGGGTACAGGGTTCAGATCGAACATTTTGGTAGGCATTGAGGCATCGAAATTAAGCACGCCCACACAAAAACCTGAAGAAAATGCCAAAAAAAAAACCATTCCAGGAACAAATTATTTTAAAATTAATCCGAAAATTTGAATATAAGAGCCAGTAGTAAAGGTGTTTAAAAGAAACTTTTGCTTTGATATTCAAGAGAAGGAACTCACACAATGATTGAATGTGCAATTTTTTGTTACCTTGGGCTGTAATTACCAAGTGATTTTTCTGCACGAGGGTGTTATAAATACAAATTTGTAAAGCACACTGTGGGTTAAGCTCAACTTTGACACGGGATGTAATATAAATTGTGTGTATAGCATGTTACGGAATGCTGTTTGTTAAAATAACTAAACAAACAAAACTCTATTGTATTTTTGCAGAAAGTCTTCAATGATTGCCGAAAGGTAAATACTTGTACTTATTGTGCAGGTCTCTTTCATTTCTTGGAATGGAATATGAATTGCCTTTAGTCAAAGGAATTGAGGATATGGATTGTGGGCGATACGAATCGAAGTATTCTAACATGTTTTAAATTAGAATTGAGCTCGCTTCTTACATTTTTATTTTATTTTATTTTATTTAGACCTGTACACACACACACACACACACAAACACACGCATAGTTTTGTATACATTAAGCCCACGCCGCATTTTGGATAATTAATGGCAGTGCCCAGTTATTTGCATCATCGCCCCGTAATACGGGTGTAGGAGTATGCCAGAATATTATTTGCATGCATTGTGAGCAACAGCAACTGCGATAGCAACAAGTTTGCCAGCGCAACATGTTGCTGAGGTGAGTTAGCCAGCAACATGCTGCGAAATCAAGGCCATGGCCGGCTCTAAAATGGAATTTCAGTGCACAACGAAGCCTACGACGCAACGGCACGAGGCGCGGCACCCGATAAACGAGCCAAACAATTAACATTTCTATATAAATAAAGTAACATACCGTTATTCGGCGCGACAAATTATCTACAAAAATAATACTAATTTTTTTTAGAATTTTTTTGTTGTTTTTGATGGATTACTGAAAAAATTTGAAACCCTGATTAAAGAAACTACGCTGACCGACGGGGTCGCTCCTTGTGTGTTTGTGCAAGTGTTTATTTAAATTTTTTTGCTGCTGTGCATTGTGTGAATAAACGGCCTCACAATTGGTGCTCCATTGTCCTATTATCGCCAGCTGTTGTCGTCCCTCGCACTGCAGGCAGCGGCAGCCACAGTTGCTGCCGCTGCGAAGCTCAATGCGAGCTATGCCGCGGACGAGCTGTACGGTGGTAGCGGCAGCGGCAGTGGAAGCGACAACGGCAACGGCAACGGCATCCTCAGCTCGACAACCGTCAGCGGCAGCGACGTCTCTCTCGATCTCTATTACGAGCCAAGCACACCGCTGGACACCGAGCCGCCTACAACAATGGTCGGTTCGTTGGCCCCGCCGCCCACCAATCGCTCGGTGAGCGTGCCACGCGTGAGCGCCGATGTACCGATCTGGGTAATACCCTGCTATAGCATCATACTGCTCTGTGCTGTCGTTGGAAATCTGTTGGTGGTGCTCACCCTCGTCCAGAATCGCCGCATGCGCACCATTACGAACGTCTTTCTCCTCAACCTGGCCATCTCGGACATATTGCTGGGTGTGCTTTGCATGCCCGTCACTTTGGTGGGCACTCTGTTGCGTCATTTCATCTTTGGCGAATTTCTCTGCAAGCTCATACAATTTGCCCAGGGTGAGTAACGAGTTCCTTTCTCAATCAAAAATACTAAGCACACTGGGCATGATGTTCGAGTATTACTTTTTATAAATAAATACACCCTGCGCACCCAACTTCTGAGCTTCATATTCCTAGCTACTTGCTAACATAAAGTGGGCCAACCTGATTGCTAGACGGCAAATAATATTCATATTTCATATTTTGCCTGCGGCATCTGAGCATCTCAGTATCTGATTAAAGAGCTGCCAAATGATGTAATAAATGCAAATGTCTGGCCTTTGTGCTCGACAACGTCAGTGTCAACCAAAAGCATATTACACAAATATTTTAAACAAGTAGCAAGTAGAATGAAAAACAACATCTGAACAATGCGAAAAAGATGCATGATTACACAACTTTGACAGGCAGGCAGGCAGGCAGACAGCCAGTCAAGGAGACAGTTCGAAAGGTCGCAAGTTTTGATAAGAGATTTTTTTATTTATGTGTTGTTTATTTTAAATCTCTAACACTACGGATTTCATCAAGCATTTCTTATTGCCTGAGGCAAATATTCACGAATCTGGCTAAACATATTCTGCGGAAGCTGCATCCGTTTCTCGTTCACTCCAAACGATGAATGAAAGTAGCTTTGAAGGTGATTTCATAATTGTTGTATCTACGAAATTGACTTAAATTAGTTTTACGTTTTAACCCCCCCCCCCCAACCCCTTATGAACACAGATATTTAAAGTGTGAATAAGATAGAATTAAAAACGCTCACTTGACCCTTTCAAAAAAGAAAACAAGACCCTAAATTTCCAAATCAACAAACTTCCAGCAAAATTAACGTTGCATAAAATGTACGCGAACATCAAAAAAAAAAACTTCATAAAGAAAAAGCTCGTTTTTCCGAATAACTGTGCCCCACCGAATTAGTTCTTGTAAAATTTTAAAAATGTTTTAGCATGCTTCGGTTGGACATAGGATCAGCGACGCCTGTTTAGCAAGGAAGCCCGCAAATTACACCTACATTTATTCGTTATGGTACCTTTATACTAAAATGGCTTCGGATCTGCACAGTTAAGAAATTAATGTTTTCGATGCTATGTCGATAGTTCAAGTATATGAGGAATCGAGAAAAGAAATACTGTAGGTAGTTTTACTATCAGAACTGTTCGGTAAATCGCACAGCTGTCAGAGAAAATTTAGAGAGAGCACACACCATTATTATTTACAACACAATCATAAAACAAACACAAACCGGCTATGCATAACTTAAATAATTAATTAAGATGGTCAAATACTTGTACAACGAATAGTAGGCCTTTCATTTTATTTTATCGCAGTAATTGAAGTAATTAGCTACCTGCCTTTTTATTATTATTGGTTGTTCCTTATAAATTGAAAATTTCTCCGACCAATTCCGACCTAATTGACTTGTCGAACTATTCGAATGGACATCGACCCAGGCGATTGGAATATGAAAGAACTGAGGCAGCAGATCGCCTTGGCCAACGTTCAGGAACTATTGCACAAAATGTCGAAGGCGTGCTTTGAGAGATGCGTTGACTTACCCGACACCAAGTTGAACGACACGGAGCGCAATTGCCTGACCTCGTGCATGGAGTGCTTCATGGGGTCAATTAAGCTCGTCTCACGCCAGTATTTTGTGCGCAAGAAGCGGATGGAGAAGAGGCGGCAGCAGTTGAAGGAGCAGCAGCAGCAGCAGCAGCAACAGCGAACAAATTAATAACACTGAGTGCATCCACTTCTGTTGAACAAAGTGTAGTAAATTTTTAGTGCAAATATAAAAGAATGTTTCGCACCAGCCTTCAAAAGATTTGCTATCAATGCCCAAACAGAAAGGCAGAGAGACAGAGAGAGACGAGGAGACAGACAGACAGGCAGACAGCTCTGAGCTGTACCCAAAGGCGACCTAATGAGCTCAGAGATAAAAACTTTGGCGCACACGCACATTCGGCACATGCGGCACATGCGGCACAAGCGGCACGAGCCTCTTTAAGCCTTTCCCTTCTCAGTTGGGTCATAAATGACGGGCGTTCATGCAATTTGCCTCACGACCGCAGCAGCCGCGCTTGAATTAATGCTTTCCATTGTCCAGTGACTATGTGTGGGTGTATGCGTGTGTGTGTGTGTGTGTGTGTGTGTGTTTGGGCTTGTATTTGTGTGCGCCTGTCAGGTGTCTCAAGTGTAAAGCAACTGGCATAGGCGCAGGGGACATAGTTTTATTATGTTGACTTGGCAAAGCCCCAGAACGGCGATGGAGGAAGCTGAAAGAGAAATAAGTAGTAATAAGTATAGGCGAACATAAAAGCGTGGCAGACACTCGACTTGCGGAATGTGATTCGCGCCAGATGCCACATTGGAACAATATAGATAAATGAAAAAACGAAACTGCAACATTTGCGTGCGATTACAAAATTGATATCAAAATATTTGATCGACTAGATTGCAAACGTTAAACTTTCAATATGGCCCCTCCTCATTTCGATCTTTGATTTTCTCACTAAACTATGTTTATAAATAAATATATAATAATGAAGTAAAGCACTTGGCAATTCCTTATTGAATTTGACTATTTCTGGGACAATCTACTTGGAAATTACTCATGAAGCCCTATTTGGAAAACACGAAGACTTTGTGTGAAAAGGAAATAAACATATGCGAGAGCGGTTTAATTTCAATTTTGTTCAAATCCATATTGCTCTAAGTACAAATATATTTCCTTTTACATACAAGTATGTTTGGATGTTGGGACAGAGCTCAGGACAGAGCCATTTATCGATTCTCATTAAAGTTTAGGGCATAATATTATGAGCCTGTTTCCATTTTCGATCTTAATTGCGTTGATAGCGAACCCTAAAACGGGCCAAAGCCTGTGAAAATGTTGGTGGCTGAAGCTTTCGAGCAATAAAAAATGCTAGTTTGTATAATTTTCCAGTGTGGAGCTACCAGTGTGCGTACTGAGCATTGTGAAGTCCTTGCTGGCTGGCACCTTATCAGAGCTCCCAAGAGCTGTGCCCTGGACGGCGACGTGGGCGTGGGTGTGGGTGTGGGCGGTGTTGAGGAGGGGAGGGAGGAGGACCTTGAGCGCGTAAGTGTGTGCGTTATCTCTGATAAGTTTGCGTGCGCGCAGCACGAGACTCAATAACTAGGCTCATTTCTTCAGATGTCGAGGACTGCGACATAAAGTGGCCTTGCGTGTGCCCCAGCTTAGTTCCTTATATATGTACATATAGTAAATGCTGTCCCGTCTGCCTTAATTGACCTTGCCTGAGAACTTCCTGTTGTTTTTGGTTCCAGCATGGCAGACAGTTCATCAACGTCATCGGCATCATCATCGTCGTAAGCGTAACGAGCTATTACAGCGCCCATTAGCACACGTTTTCTCAGTTCCATTGATGCAAGTAATGCTTGAACCCGAAGCGCCATTGCGCGCACTTTCCTTGGCCTTGGGTCAAGTTCATAAATATTTAATTTCTAGATTACATTTTTTTATTTGCTCATATTTTCCGCTTAGGGTAACAGCAATCAGTTTTCCACACAATTTCCATGCTTATTTATGGCGAAATCATAATTCAAATTAACAAAGCTCGCGTGCTAAGGCCTCAAAAGTCCTCCATACACCCACAAACCCATTTGCTTATGTGGCCCAATAATGGCGCATATTTAAGAGTCTCGGCCGAGACAGGCTGCCAACTATGCCAACAGCAGCGTGTTGGGCGGTTGGCTGGTTCTAGGGCTTGAATATCCAAACACACACACGCTCATACTCGTACCCCACGACCAAAAGTACGGGCTGGCTTCTTAGTAGAACTGCATTTCGAATAAGTGAATAAATTGAAAGACTTCAAAAAGTACAACTGTTTCCATTTCCCTGAATATGGCTTTGATGGTTCCAAATAATTTCTAAGTTATTTCCTAGCAGTTACTCATTCATTTGAAATGGAGTGCAACTTAAATTTAGACCGACATTTTGGACTCACATCCATAAATTACCATAAACTCATCTAAAACTCTTTTGCATAATTCAAGGAGACTTCAGAGGGTTGCGCCGTTGAAGTTTTAAAGGAGAACTGGCATTTGATGTTGTTTTATGTCCTCTTTCTCCCATTTCCTTAAAGCGTTATTATGGCCGTTTAATAGATTTTGTACAGCATTCAAATGCGAGTAAAATTATGACAGAAAACCTGATATTTTCGGACTATAAAGGGCACAAAGCTAGTGTGATTTAAAAGAACTGCAAAGTGGTTCAAAAACTACGAACCGTAATTATGTTTTAATAGATTCATTACTATCTGATAAGTTATACGAACAGTAGTTCATTAATATATTTCATTCACTTCCTGATATGCATACATGTGTGTAGAAAAGATAATCTAAACCATCACCTGTTGTCTATTAAAATACTTAAATTTGTTTCCACGCAAACATGGACAATACTACGCAATACCACGCAATCATGCACAATACTACAAGTATATAACATAAAATTTCGTTAATTTTGAATCTCTTAAGCCCTGAAACGTGCAACGAGTTTAGATAAAATTAATTTTGTAATTTACATTCACATTAAGTCTTTATCGATATAGCAATTGATAGCCTTGCTATCAGACGGTGCGAACATTTCATTAGCCTTAAGCGATATTTATAACTAAGTGTACGAATTTCTCATAGGGATGCTACACTGTCCCACATTGTTGTATGTACTTATATATAGTTTGATAGAGCGGCCACATAATAAGCAGTTGGCTAAGTACTTGACATGAAGAGCACTTTTTGGAGCAGATGCTGCTGCTGCTGCTGTTTAAAAATCGCTTAAATGTGGGGTGTGGTTATAGGACTAATGGCCAAAATTATTATGGGTTAGGACTGTGTAGCCTGCGTAGGCTGCGTAGCTGATAGCAGACAGCAGGCAGGAGGCACATAAGCGCCTGCATACCAATGAGTGGTCCAGTGACCCACATCAGCCAAGTGGCGCCAGTTGTCAAAACCTTTGACTTGAGTTCAGCTTT